CATATGTCCCAACGGACAAGAAATGTACTAGTTGAGACTGTGTGTGAGAAGGACCTAGGTAGGTATAAGCGACAATGAGCCGAAGCTCCGGCCATTGTGAGAAGAAGGTAACCAGGCAAATAAATTATTGGGTCTTATACATATCGTTCAGGATATCTAGACGGTCCGTTCCTCGTGACGATCTTCAGAGGAAGTGCTTCCCCATCTGGAGTACTGTCACCCCATCTGGTCCCTCGAGATATGCTAGGGACTGTCATTGGCTGAAAATGTTCTCAAAGGAGGGCCACCTCAAGCTGGTGCCTGCACTTCGGCATCTCAGCTACCCTGCGAGATTGAGCGCCTGAACTTGCCTAGCTTATACTACAGACGGGCAAGGGGGACCTAGTTGAGGCTTATAAGCATCCTAGGGGCACTACCAGTTGAGTGTCCTTACTTGAGCTGGCGGGACGCCTGCCTTGCACAAGGGGTCACAGCTCAAGACGAAAGCCGCAAGTCGGAGAAAACCGTGAGGCAAACTTTTTCGGAGTGAGGGCTAAACTCTGGAACACCTACCAGAAAAGTGTTGTGACGGCACTGAGTGTGAGCTCTTTTCAAGAGAAGACTTGACCAACACTGGAGCGGGTTCTAGGTACATTCAGGAGCCGGTGCAGATGCCCAGTATTTGCCAACAGTGCGTGACAGAGACGTGACTGATCGCCCGGATATGGCTAGCGAGCCGACCTTTGGTGAAGAATATAAAGGAAAAGAGTCAGAGGTCAGTTGCAGCGACAAACAGCGTTTGTAGGGGAGAAATGCACTACAGTAGCACCAATTATTTTAAGAGGCGACATTTACGAGAACCTAATAGAATCTGACCCAACCAACCAGAGAAACCTATCTAACTTTTTATAATTTCCTAGCCCAGATTGTCGGTACAGGAGTCACACTTGCGTTGATAGATCATTTTGAAAATCATTACAAGTCAGTATACTTTTAGATTTGGTAATAATAATACCCGGATGAGAATAAATTGAGTCTCGGGTTCTTTACCAAGTCAAGGTTCGGATTCATGTCCGCTCTGAGTGGTTGGCTGAGTCTGTCTTGGTAGAGTAAACGCCCGGTCCTGCACACACACGACCTGGCAACACGTGCGGCGAGGAATTTATTTGTTAATTTATTTGAGTGAAGCCTTTCATAAGTGTGAAATAACAAAATGGGAGCAAAAAGGAAGAAGAAGGTAAGATTATGTTAATTATTACGCTGATTTTGTCTTTTCGTAATGCTTATATTTGTCATTGTTATCATTTGTATCTTAGGTAGTTCAGGGAGACTTTAGCTCAAGCCTGTTGGTGTTGATATCTTGTAGATAAATAAGCTGTTGCTGTTATAGAAAATCGTGTACTGTAATACTAAGGCATTCTGCTACTGCTTTAATATTTAGTGTTTTCGTATTAATCTTGGATAATTACTGAACATTGCTTTTTAATGTAATCCTTGATGGAAGTGGTCAGGCCTTAGCACCAACTTGAGGAAGTTTTCGTTAGAAGATAAAAGCTATTGGTAATTATGACACGGTAATTATTCGGTATGGTAAATTATTGCCTACTCAATTTGCTAGTTCATGAGGAAACCGCCACCACCAAAAAATGTTTACGATGGTATATAGTGAAGGTAGGATGGCTGAGAAGGCCAGATATACTGTGTCGAAATACAGGGTAATGTATGAGGAAACTGCTACCTCCAGAAGTTGTTCAGTTTCGTGCATTTTTCCACAGATGTTCCTATCATTAGAGCAAGTATTTTAGGAAAAAAGGCGACATTTAATGGAACCTGACCTAACCAACCAAAGAAACCTACCTAACTTCCTGATGTAGCCCCTGGACCCCACGCCATATTAATCAGAAGTTACTTATTTTGATATCTGGTACCAATGAAACTAACTTTGTTGAAGCATCAAGGACGGGTCGGTTGTAAACAACCGGAGCAGATGACAACTGGCTGACTCGGCAGATTTTTTATAGGAGCGTTTACGGTAAAGAAGTACCTTCTTCACGTATAAAGCACATAGAGGCATCATTTCAGTCTCATATCAGTTTTTCACCATGTTTTATCCCGTAATTTCCCCCCATCCTTCATGTCTTGCGCACTGCAGGTGACTTATAATATTATATAGAGAGAAAAAAAAAGCTGTCGTCTCTTAAAGTACTTACTATAATGATAAGAACATCTGAGCAAAAAATGAATGAAATCAAGCAACTCCTTTTAGTGATAGCCAGCTCCTCCAGTATTATTTTTATCACTGTCATCCAAAGAACATCTGTGGAAAAAAATAACGAAATCGAACAACTCCTTCTGATGTTAGCAATCTGCCCCAGTATTACCGCTTTATCATCCAAACAACACCTCAAAAATATGAACTGATTTAGAGTTTAGTATGAAATAAGTAAATTTACTAGCAGTGTGTTTACATTATGGCATCACAACTTTAAACCATAGTACACTATTGCCTCAGTTACTGGCTCTGGAGAGATTAAAAAGGGTAAGTAAGTTAAAGAAAGTATATTGCACTCAATTTAGTGCTAATGTCAGGATGAATGTTTATGTGACAAATTACATAGTATTATTCCATTAGCTTTTTGCTAAGTTTATATTTCATAGCAAAGTGTTTTCTCTACCCTGCATATGCATACCATTACACATTATTTGGATTCAATGGTACAGTATTACCCAAAAAATTATTGAATTACATTTCAGGGAGAGTCAGGAGAGGCAACAAAATACATCACAAGAAATGCAGCTGTCAAGAAGTTACAGCTCTCCTTGAAAGATTTCCGGCGATTGTGTATTCTGAAAGGCATATATCCACGTGAGCCAAACCACAGAAGAAAGGCACAGAAAGGAGACTCCAGGATCAAGACCCTTTTCCTTGTGAAAGACATTAGATATCTTCTTCATGAACCAATTATCTGGAAGTTTAGGGAGCTTAGGGTAAGTTTATTATTATGGTCCATGGAGGATATAATTATATACTAAAGTAGAATGTCTTTAGTTCCACATCATTAGAACCAACAGTTTTGCCAACATAGGATTTTTGTGAGGTAATGAGTGCCTTATAACATGGTTGCAATGGATTTTGAGACCATGAACCTAAGATGTCAATTACAATATGATTCTGAGTGTTTAGACCCTCAGACCATGAACACAGTTTATCTCATGCAAAAAAGTTACCACCGTCCCTGGGTTTCCAAATTAATCATAAGTTTAAGATTAGAATTACAACTAATTGTATAAAACAGTATAATTTGTTAGTTAATTTACTTGATTAAACTGATTTTAGTCTTGTTCAAATATTAACTCATCCTCAGTTAATCTCTAGACTTGTGTTAATTTCAAACTCAAGGTTGCTATAATATGTCTTGTTTATTAAATAATTAACATCACATAAGCTGGAGGCCCACTGATACCCCAGCCTCTTCAGATCGTCCTTGGGACTTGCCCTTAAACATTGAGTGAGAACCCCAGGCATATATATTTGTTTTATTATTATTTAATGTTTACGGTAAGGTGAATATTAAATTTTTTTCAGACATTCTTGATAAAAACAAGCAAGGCAAAAGCTAGAAAGGAACGCGATAAAGTAGAAAACCTGTACAAGAATCCGCCATTTTATCGACTGGACCACATCGTACAAGAGCGATACCCTACCTTTGTTGATGCCCTGCAAGATCTGGACGATCCTCTCACACTATGCGTTCTCTTCTCCAAAATGGCACGAACATGGCGAATACAGGATGGTAAAGGATTATATTGTTTTTATTTATCTAATACTGTATCTTAGGTACACAAAGAATGTAACTATGATGATGGATGAGTGACTAAATTTTATAGCTGTGACGGTGAATTATTGACTAAAGTATATAGCTGTGATGATGGACGAGTGACTAAAGTAGCAATATAACTGTGGTGGTGGATGGTAGACTTGATAAGATTAGCTCTATAGTTGTAGTGATGGAAAGCTGATTAAGATATTTTTATTGCAGTAAAACAAATATATTTATTTGATGGCAGCTCTCCATGCTTCACTGTCTCTTGCATCCTCTTGTCAGATTCTTAACTTTAATTTAATTTCTTAAAACTTCTCCCCATGTCATTCTTGGTCTGCTCCTGGCTCTCCATCCCTTCTTATTTAGGCTCATGCACCTCTTGTTCCATTTAGATGTTCACTCTCTACTTGTCTGTGATGATATGCTAAGGCTTATGTGGCTGCCACAGTGGATTGACTGTCTTAGTCTCTCTGATACATGGTACCTGGCACACATTGTATCAGTGATGCTGTGGATTGAATATCTGAGTCCATCTATGATACAACATGCTGATTCCAATTTACAGATACTGTGGGGTTAATCTCAATTGGTTTATGCTTGATTTGAAGAACAATTAATTACTGTTACTTCACACTATTTGTTAGCCCTGGGTAATTCTTCTTTATTGCTTACATGATGATTCATAGGTTTTGCTGTACACTAAAACTGTATTCAGTAATTAATTTTTTATTACAGTGATGCTGCATATTTGTCGTCGGTTGACTGTGGAGTTCATGCATTACGTCATAGAAACACAAGGATTAAGGAAGGCCTTCATCTCCGTCAAAGGTTATTATTATCAAGTAGAAGTAATGGGACAAACAATCACCTGGATTGCACCACATCCTTTCACTCCCCTGGTAAGAATTTTAATGTTTAAATACTTCTTACTAGATTTCTTTTTTCAGTCACTCGGACTACATTCAAGTGTTTTAATTGTCTGAATATGAAAAAAATAATTAGTGGCAGGAGTGAAGGCCCTGTGGTGAAAAGTGGAAAATGGCCATGAAATGTACATGCTATCAGTTAAGTCACAAAAAACCCACTCTAGCGTGGAAATTTGCTGTAAACGATAATGTTGATGATTATATGGTACAGTATTTGCATTTTATTTATGTGTATCACTTTTTTGTTGTATCATTATTACCAGAATAAAATGGATCTGGTCATGAATTACTGATTAATCCTAAAATTTCTTTTTCCACAGCCTACAACAGATGTTGATCTTCGTGTCATGACTGTCTTCCTTGATTTCTACATCACATTGTTGGGCTTTGTTAATTTCCGACTCTATCATAGCCTGAATATCCACTACCCACCCAAGTTACAAGGCATGAAGAGAGGTAAGTTTGTTATAGTTATAATGATAGATTTAAACTGCATGCCTGTGTTCATTATGTTTTATTATTGTGTGAGTTTTTTAAACATAATCTCATGAAACCCCCAACCAAAATGGGTAAAACATCCACTTCATTAATAACTGTTCCTTAGAAAGGAAAAACCATAAGGGAACTGTTAATATACCGAGTGAGGTATTTAAGATATAAGGCAGAGTGAGGTTCAACAGCACTAACGAGGATGCCACCATTGCTTCAAATATATTGTCTATATTTATTGCTACATTATGGGTGTATCTTCCATAGTGATGTGCTTATTATGTGGGGAAATAAAGTATATTTACTTTATAAAACTGCCATAATGAGTGCAATAACTGTTTAAATTTCAAAACAATCACTGTATAGAGATGATGATATATTTTGAATTATATTTATATCTACTGTATTGATAAAAAAAAGCACAAACTGGCAGAACATGGTAACTGGGGAACACTTCGAAAGAGGCACAGGTTCTAGGAAAAAACAGACTATTAGTGACATGAATTTGTTAAGTCAATCTGTATTATTTTATATTCATGGAATGGATGACATACTGTTCACTTAATAGTGTTAATTGTTTGGGTTCTAGGTGAAGGCTCTACATATTTCAGTCGAGTTTGTTATTGATTATATAAAAAAGAGCACCAAAGTGAACGGTGTAGTTCGTTATTACAAATACTCAATCATAGCATGTAATCATTTAATATATCTTGACTTGTTCCATGCTTGTCCAGACATCTTTTATGTACGGATTGCAGTTTGTTCACGCCACTAAAAGAAATATACTGCATCAGAAAATTAAGTATTTTTTATTCTTATATAATTTTCTATATTTAAGGTGAAGAAGAAGAGGAAGCAAGTGAGAGTTCAATTGTATCAGGGCGTGTAGCATCACTGAATATCCCTCTGCAGAGAAATAAAGTAGACGATAATGATGAAGAGGGTGGCATTGATATGCACCTGTTGGTAAGCCTCTCTCTCTCTCTCTCTATCATCCTCAGACAACACTTATTTATTGCTATGACAGGCTCTTAATTAATCTCTTTATTCCTATACAGTACAATACTGTACACCCAAAACCATTTATTTCATATCAGCATGACAAACAAGTCTATTTTCCACACAGTTTTCATTGTATGAACATAGATTTCATGCTCTTGACAGATCACCTTTGAAGTTGTGAGACAAGGGGTGGAGAGGTCGCCTGGTTGTTTATTGGCCCATGGTTGTGAGCGGCAGTTAACAACACAATCTACACATGATTTATATAGTTTTGCGTGTTTTTCATTTTTTTGTTTGTTTGGTATTTGTTATATGGTAGTAACACAAGACTTGTTACTATAGCCACATCCTCTTAGGCCTCTCCCTACCACTCTAGGCCAAGTTGTTAAATATGTTATGGTTATTTTTCAACTTGTATTTTTTTCTACTGTGTAATATGCACATACAATCTTACATACAGAGTGTGCAAAAAAATTTATCAACTAACTTTATGATCATAGGAAGAGGATGAAGACAAGTTAAAGGCAGCACGAGAGGAACAGCAAAAGAAAAAGAAACAGCAGTCTCTCTTCAAGGGGCTTAAGTTCTTCCTGAACCGTGAGACTAACTTAGAGTCTCTCACTTTTGTCATCAGGTCCTGCATGGGAGAGGTGAGTTAACTCTTTATGTGTTATCACCCCTTATATTCTCACAGGAATTGTATATGTATGTGGTAGCTGTATTTGTGTAGGTGAATCAAGTTTATTGTATTGTATTTCCATTTTAAAAATACAACTATTGTTGGAAATTTAACAGGTATCTTGGCAAAGTAGTACAGCTGAAGGCAGCACCTTCTTGGAGACAGATGAGGCAATCACACATCAGATTGTTGACAGACCGATGCACCAACAAAATTATTTGTCCAGGTAATTATTAATTGATGTTCATTACATTTTTCTGAGCATTGTAATGATCATGTTTGTCCATGTCATAAATGTTTTTTCCAAATTTTAAAGTTGGATGGTTCATTTAGAATATTCATAGCCTGTGATTGTCAGAACATGTCACAATATTTTACCTGCGATGTGTCACTTATTCACTTGATTTAGAAACTAAAATTCCTCTTATGAGCCCTCAAAACTTATTAACATTTTATTCCTGTTCTCATATTGTTCTGTACAGGGATACTCTAACTGATATGTTTATGAGGCAGAAGGCAATCAATCTGAGGTCTGTCTAAATGCAATTGGTGTAAAATGAAAGTTGTCTTATTTACTGTATGAGGGTGTGAGGAGTAGACGGAAGTCTATTGAAAGCTGATAAAAGAGTTGTTGATAAAGACTAGCTTGTGTATGTGTGAATTAGTAGTGGTAGCTATTAGCAAGTTGTTTGAAAGAGTTAGGAGATTACATCACAGAACTGTGATTTTATTTTTATTATTTGTCTAATGAAAGTAAGAATGAATGCAGAATGTAATTAAGATGTGGTGACAGTGAAACATCAAATTTCCCATATGTAGACACTGTTTTGCTGCTATCTTAGTGTTAAAATATGTTTAGTAGAAAGGCACATGTTTTAAGAAGCTTTCAGGAGAATTTTTTTAAAGGTAAATTCTAGAAGAAAGGTCATGGATGGTTCTTAAGTACTAGATACATTAAATGTACTCCTGAACATGCTGATTAATGATCTGTTGTCTGCAATTTGATATATGTATAATTACTTGTCCAAATGACATCTAGAATCTTTACATACCTTTCTAACACTAATTACTTGCTACCTATGGTTTTTACATACTGTATGTTTGAAAAGCCTGAGAACCATCCCCAAGCTATAGTGCATCTTTGTATCTGTATGTTTGGGTGAGAGTTCTTGACCAACACTTGAATGAGCCGTCAATGGTCTATGCTAAGTTAACAATATGTTGATGTTTTCCAGGTATTACATTCAACCTCAGTGGGTCTACGACTGTGTCAATGCTCGTCTACTTCTTCCAGTCCAGGATTACTTCCCAGGAGTTAACCTTCCAGCACATCTTTCACCATTTGAAAAAGAAAATGACTTGTATATTCCACCAGAAAAGAAACTGCTTATGGCTCGACAGAAAGGAGAGGTACCCATAGACCTGCCTCAGAAAATGGAAGATAGTGACGAAGATAATGAGAAAGAAGTTTATGATTGGAAGAAAATGAAAAGGCTAAAAACGAAAGAATTTAAAGGTATGTTGTTCTGAATTAACTGGTTTTAATTGTTAGTTTTCCTTGAAATTTATCACTACTGTACCTGGATTTCAATGGTGGCTTAGACCCAGCTGTCACTTTTTGTGGTGTGGGCTCCCCCAATCAGTATTATTTTTTATATAGCTCAGAGGAATGGCAGCTTTCCATTGTTGCAGAGGGTGGGGGGCATATCACACCCATTTCAAAGGGAAAATGTTCCACACTTATCCCCATTTATTACTGACTTATTTTTGTAACTGCAATTCTATCCTCTGTTTTAGGTAACTTCTCTCAGCTCACTTAAGCTATTATGTGATCGATTGTAACTTTTCCCCAAAAATGGTTTGTATAATTAAAAGGTCTTGGTACACGTGATGGACTTATAATGATGATGTTGCCTTAGCCTTATCACTCTTGTCAGGAATTGCACGACCCAGATCATGAGATATGTCTTGCCCTCCACAGTTAATCTATAGCACTCACTGCCCAGGACTATATTTTGAGGGTGGCTACCTTTTCTTTTAAGAACAAGGGTAACACATTTTACTGTCATTTCATTGGAGTTCTCATTTTTGTATTTTGCTTTTTGTACATGTTTTCACTTTTCATTTAGTTTACTGTTGTGGAAGTGTTAGTAAAAGCTCAGGGCGAAAGTTTCTCATTGGAGGATGTACTGGAAGTTTTTATATAGAGAAAAATTGTGGTCTATGTTGCTAATACAATACAAATTAAATAATAGGTGACTGTATCCAAGAATGAATGTATACAATATGTTCTTGTCATAAAATAGTTTCCAGTTTCATCACCTGAAAATTATTTGTAGAGGTTAATGGAAGCCTTTTTATTTCAGCAAAAAAGAGAGCAATGAAGGAAAAAGAAATGGAAAATGAAAAAGTAAATAAACCAATGGAAGAAGGAAAGGAAACAGAAGAAGTAAGCAAACCAATGGAAGAAGGAAAGGAAACAGAAGAAGTAAGCAAACCAATGGAAGAAGGAAAGGAAACTGGAGAAGTAAGTAAACCAATGGAAGAAGGAAAGGAAACTGGAAAAGTAAGTAAAGAAGTAAGCAAACCAGCAAAGATACCTCTCCGTAAGAAAATGAGGGTAATCCGTGGCAATGTGGCCCAACCTAAGCCGGCTGTCATAGAGAGTCAAGAAAGAGAGGAGAAGATGTTAGCAGTCATGATGATACCCAAGAAGAAGAAGAGGTTGTACAAAATCCTAAATAGGAAAGAGAAGAGACAAACTGCCAAGGTAAAGCGATTGACAGAGAAGAGGAATCTTCTTGAGGAACAAAAGAAGAAAGACAAGGCAAACAAGTTAGCTGGAAGTGTACCAGAGAAATAAGTTGTCAGATGAACAGGAAATTTTTATTATGTATTATATGAGGTAGAAATATAGTTTAAACCTCATATGTGGATTTTCTTTGTCTTCGACTTTTATAATGAGATTTTGTTCTCCAGTAAAATCTCAGAATTCTGAAAATCATGAATCAAAAAAGTCTCAGAACACCGGCACACTTAAAAGATATTCTTAAAAACTAAAAAAAATCCACATGGCACTTCTTGACAAAAATAAAGGTAGAGAAAGTTTTTAAGATTGGCCCAGGTGATAAATGCATGAGTGACGAAATTATGATTGACAGAATTACACATTATATGTACAAAACCTTACCAAATTGAGAAGCAGACCAGCAAATGAAATTTTATATGGTTGTCTGAAAGCAGTGTCTAAAATTTACTACCAAACACCCAGACCACCCGGAGACTAGATAATAGAGCTGTTTGTAAGTGAGAAAGGTTGCTTTTTCTCGTAATTAAATAGTACTTGCGGCATTTTGATGATATTTACATTATAAATTTTACAAAAATTTACCTAAACCTGAGGAATAAAAACATTGTCTCGGTCTCATTTAGAAAATTACAAGATTAAATATTTCAGTTTAGGTGGGTATGACAGATCTAAATATATAACAAAAATGATAAAAAATAAAAAATTCTTTAATGGAAATATGGTTGCTACCTCTACAAGCAGTTTGGGGATTGGGTTCAGACCCGACTACAAACGCTCTACCACCCCCATTGACTTAACAATGAAACTCTTCAAGGAGTTCTCCCCGGAGCTTGCTAAACCCCTATGCTCCATCATCAATGCTTCTCTCAGTGAAGCCAGATGCCCAGCTGACTGGAAGACCTCTTATGTATCACCAGTGCCCAAGTCAACCAGCCCACAATCCTTAAATCAGCTACGACCTATTGCAATCACCCCAATACCCAGCCTAATCTGTGAAAGCTTTGTGTTCGACTGGGCTTATGCTGATATTGCAGGAGTCGTAGACCCTCAGCAATTTAGCAACATGAAAACTTCCTCCACCACTCACTGTCTTGTCAGCTTTCTCGATTACATATACCGCCATCTCGAGAAACGAAAAAAACGTCTGTAGCTATCGCCTTCATTGATTTCACTAAAGCGTTGACCTAGTGGACCACAATATAATCATCAACAAAGCTATTGACCTCGGGCTTAGGAGAAGTCTTATACCATGTGTACAGACTTCCTCAGTGACCGACGCCAAGCTGTACGCTTCCGAGGGGCTGTCTCCACCTTTCAGTCACTCACCTGTGGCGTCCCCCAAGGCATCAAGATGGGACCACTCTGCTTCCTTATGCTCATCAATGATGCCCTAAGAGAAACCCCTGCTCGCTGGAAATATGTCGACGACTCCACCATTGGGATCAGCGTCAACAATTCTGCTCCCAAATTTACCGCCCTTCAGGATTTATTGAACAGTCTCTAAAACTGGGCCACCAACAACCATGTCACCATCAACCATACCAAGACCATGGTTATGCACATCAACCTCTCCTCCGACATTGTCCCACCTCCTTCCATTACTCTAGGTCCGAACACACTCCAGGTTGTAGATTCCACGAAGCTCCTCAGCGTCACCATAGACAACAAACTAAATTGGAAACCACACGTCTGGTTATCAAATCCTCCAGTTTCCGTCTCCACCTCTGTGACTCAAGTCCTCGGAGTTCCTGCACACGAGCTCCTCAGTGTTTACACAACATTCATACTTCCCAAGCTCACCTATGCCTCCCCCACCTGGTCTTCCTCTAAATGCCACACAAGCGTAAACACCTAGAAAAGTGCAAAAGAGGGCATGCAAGATTATTCTCTCCCTTCCTACTCCACATATCAAGAAGCGCTCAACACACTGACCCTTTCGACTCTCACTGACCATCACCACGACCTCATCTGCAAATTTGGTAGAAGCTTCTACACCATCCCGCGACACGGCTCCTACTACCACCTGAGATCCCTAGTCCGAGAATTTGACCACAACCGCATCCAGCCCATCGTTACTGACTGCATTAGCTATAAGAACAGCCCAGTCCCAACCATTGTAAAATATCAATAACTTGTAATAAATCAGTTCATTCACTCCCAGTAAACACTACTCCTTGCACTGTCACTATGTTGAAATGAACTGTAGTTTGAGCTTTTCCCCATCTAGTTATTATATGTCTTATTTGTGTCACTCATGTTACTTGTATATTATCTGTAATTCGTAACCCATTCCCCAAATATGTAACTGTATATTTTCAGCCTTCTGGCTGCCAAGCTCTTTCAATAAACGTTAATTATTATTATTTATTATTACAGCACACAGGTGGCTGGAGCGGCAGAACTCGGTACGGTATATGGGTTGTTCAATTTGAGAGATAAGATATGCTATGTATATACAGTACTGAACTCTGAATACATAAGGTCCACAAATTTAATGTTTTCAAATTGGTAAACAGTCAGTGTTGGATTAAATTTTTAAGTTTACCTGCTACCAATTCCAAGTTTGTGATCAGATCTTACAGTAATGCCAGCTGGTGTATGTGGTGCAAGATGAGACAGTTATGTGTAGTGGGTGTGATGTTGGGTGGCACCTGATCAGCAGCAAACTGCATCTTGATAAGCTTACTGTTATTTATTTATTTTTTTTTTTTTACAAATTGTGATACTAACCAAGTTTCATTGTATTTAATCACCTTGGTTTCTAATTAATGTTAATTTCACAAATGGATGTTTGAGTTATATTTCATATTGTTGATATTTATAAAAACAGGTAAGTGTTGTGGAATCCAGGAAAAAAATCACAAGAAAAAAAAGTCAGATAAAAAGCAAGGGAAAAAACCTAATCTAACCTAACCTACGTGCAATGCCATCATATATACAGTATATTGTGTTGTCGATGTGTACATGTCATGTGACTTTATTTCCATCCACCGTTGTGTGGTGGATGAGGAGACCATACCGTCTTATGTACTTGTGTGTGACTGGTGGACAGAAGGGATGCTGGTGTGAGAACTGTTATTGGTGGAGGGCCTATGTGTACATTAAAGGTGGCATAGGGGTGAATGTTAACTTTACAAATGTTTATTTAGGTAAAGGTAGAAAACATAGTGGAGTGTGCCAATTCTCCCACCCTTTGTTTATTGCCGGCATTGGAAACTTGAAAAAATTTTAGTTTCATGTAATATTTTAGAGTTTTATTTAATGTGAAGTTAGTCCCATAGGCTTGGTAATCCAGGGCCCAGATTCACTAACAAGTTATGAACATCGTAAAGTGCTTAAGAGTTCATAATCTCCTGTGTTGGTAATCCACTAAAGACTTACAGAGTCTACAACTCGATTTAAAATGGCTGACTTTTCTTCATAACTGGGTGACTGCAGGTCTTATAAGCTTCTGCAGGGGTGGAAATAAGGCCTTTTTCTCTACTACTATACAACCTGTACCAAAAACACAGCTGGTGTTTCATTTTTTTTTCTTACAAGTATTTTTTCAAAGGTTTTGATTAATAAATACTGCTCTTTTTTTGTCAAAGTAGTGAAATGTATTATCTTATCCTAATCTAACCTAACCTAGCCTGAACTAACCTAACCTTAACATACCTTACCCAACCTAACCTGAATTTACCTTTCCTTTTTTTATAATAAATTTGCAGAGATAATCAAAGGTTAAAATGCATAATAGTGTATTGCAAGTTATATATATATATATATATATATATATATATATATATATATATATATATATATATATATATATATATATATATATATATATATATATATATATATATATATATATATATATATCATCAACAGATTTATCGATATGTTGGAGAAATAAATGTAAAAAGTTTATCTCTGCAAACATATTTTTAAAAAGATGTTGAAGTTTTTCTAGAAAACTTAATTGTTTGTCATGCTCATTGCGGCTTTCCGTGTTGTGTAAAGGCGCTGACATTACACTACAATAGTCTTGAGTTAGGTAAGGTAAGGTAACATTGGGTTAGGTAAGGCTACATTAGGTTAGGTAAGGTAACATAGGTTAGGTAAGGTAATGTAACATTAGGTTAGGTTAGGTACGGTTGGGTAAAATACATTTCACTAATTTTGTGGCGTAAAGACATTGCTACTGAAGGTATCATATCAAAAACCTATGAACATAATTTTTTTTTTAAGAAAAAATGCTATACCACTGTTATGCATTTTTACTTACTTTTATTAGGTTTAATGAACGTAGATTGGGTTAGGTATTATTTAACTATGATTTCAGTGTTGAACTTTTTGTCTTTAACCATTACAATGATAATTATGAACGTTTTGGCTATAAATCACTTATTCATTACCTAAGGAAAATACTGTAAGAAAAATAAATCTTTATAATTTCATTCCTCTTACTATACTCCCCGGTAGACCGCATACTATAGTAGCACCATAATTATAAGGGAAAGACGATGAATTATAATAATCACAGTAAAATTCAAACACAGGTGTACATGACGGTGAACGGAAACAAAGTCACCTGTCTTGTACATATTGACAAATATATATGACGGCATTGCACGTAGGTTAGGTTAGGTTAAGTAAGGTTAGGTTAGGTTAAGTAAGGTCAGGTTAGGTTTTTCCGTGACTTTTGTCTGACTTTCTTGTGACTTTTTTTCCTGGAAACTACATGACGGGTCAATTTTTAGTAGAGGACATAATTTGATTTAGTATTTTGCATTTAATTTTAATTTCAGACAAAAAACCAAGACGAATCTCTTTTATGATCCTTTTCTTGCATTTTACAGTCAAGTAAAGTCCATTAAAGATTTCCCAAAGTTAACATCAACCACCTAAAACATGAGATTGTTAATAAAAATTAACTAGAATATTTTACAATATTTTCCTACAAGTATTTGCTTGACAGATTACCCTCAATACTGACTGAACTCTTCTTTACTGGTGAATGTAAGGATTATAATACTACACTACAGCGTTAGAATCCTTGGTTAATGTCACCAGCTGATGTTAAAGAGGAGTGAGTATCTACACGTCTTCTGTACCATCCTGTGACGCTCTGTTGTTTCCTATGTGGTCTCGACCCTCCACATTACCGTGATTCAGTTTGTGTATTTTGTGTTGTGTTGGGTCGCAGTTTCTGATCGTAGTAAAAAACTATTGGTTATTGTTGTCTTTCATGAATAACTGAAGGAAGAGAATACATCAAATTATCGGTGAGTGTTATATGATATGTTACGTGGTGTGTTCACTTGATGTTGTCTTGGTGTTTTGCTATTAAAAGAAGTTGTGAGGAGACTGACTGGTGGCCCTATCTTCAGTCTCCCTTTAACTCTTGCCAAAAGATACCACTAATATACCTGATGTTGATTTCAGGACCTTTTGTTTCACTCCTAAGTTTGATTTATATTGATTACGAATATCAATATTGTGGACTGTTTTCTTGTGTTGCTATTTATCATTTTAATTTCCTTCAGCAATGTTTATCAACTCTCGAATTGTTCCTAGGTAAAGTTAATAAGACCTCTGCCAGCTTAGAAGTAAATTTACAAAACGATTGCTAAAAGACTATATTTGTAATTGTTTTTAGTATTCAAAATATGTTTGTGGAGACCGTGAGATAAAAAATTAAGGGTCAGCTATTTTCCCCCTAATGCAGTGCCTGTGCCCTCAACACTGGTAAGTAAAGAAAAGAGCAAGCAATGAACTATAGGTAGTACATTTTAGAAACAACAAGCAGTAATACTTGAGTGGTCTGGCCAGACTACCAATGTGAGGAAATTTCTCCATAGAAGATAAAGCCTTCTTACCTCGAGAAACTAAAGAAAATGCAGGAAGAATATGTTTTACATAATTTCACTTTAGACTTTTTACATTTTCTGTCTCCGGTGGAACTGCTTCTGTTTACCACGTTTATTTTCTGCAACTGTATGTTTGTTCGGGAAGGATTTATTTTATGCCATAATGGGAATTTAAACCAAAATAGATTTTTCTTATATTTTTTATGGTGATTTGAACAAAATATGACTTATTTCCATGGAAAATGCTTATTTATAGAGATATTATCTCTTAACACTAACAATGAAAATGATTTCTTCTAAAGTGGGTAGGGCTTTGAAGATTAATGAAAATGTGGGTTAAAACACACACACACACACACCAAAGAAACCTTTGAAAACCCAACCTAACCTTTTCTAACCTATATTATACTCTATTATGGTGTACTTATACCAAAAATCTAATATATGTGATGGGTGTACATAAAGTGAACCAGTGAATGTGGTTTCATACACAACCAATCAAGCAAAAAAAAGGCAGTGAGGTTCATTCTTGACTTAAAAGCAAATTTTTTAATAATTTTTATTAGTTTGACAATACAGTACACAAATGCAGTGGCGGCTTCCAAGCGGCAATGTTGTTGTCCTTTCCTTACGTCGTCGTCCTTTCCTTCACGTGCCTTGATTCTTTCCTTCGTCGTAGTCCTTTCCTTCGTCGTCGTGGTCCTTTTCATACGTCGTCGACCTTTCCTTACGTCGTCGTCGACCTTTCCTTACGTCGTCGACCTTTCCTTACGTCGTCGTCGTCCTTTCCTTACGTCGCTTTCCTTACACACAAATTCTTGACATCTCTTTTGGCCTCGACTTCCAGGTCATATGTGAAAGAGTACATAGGGTATAAATATTTTACAAACTTTTATACACAGGATAATAAAATGATTTCCCCTATGGACTATAGCTAAGTAAATTTTATTAAATCTAGGACGAGGACTGATTGGTGCCTGAAATATGCACCTTAATTGAGAAGTTGTTTTTTAAACATTCTAAATTTTCAAAGAACCATATCTGAAAAATATGTTATAGGACCACAATTAGTACCTGTACAGTACATTGAGGTTACCCATATACAATGCCATGTAGAAAATCTACGCAACTGGGCCAAATAAAAGGAATGGGTACAGGTAATTGGTTGAGTCCGAGTGAATAAGTGTGGGAATGGTGATATACTGTGGTTTCGATAAGTGCTTGGGTGGCTAGCCTTCTGGTGAAAGAAGTTGGGGGAATCTGAAGGTGTTCCATCAACTCTACAGTGCAAAACAAGTAACGTGATTTAAGGCATGACTAAGGAGATTTCTGTACAAGTTAAATTTGACACATGGGGTGATGTTTCCAAGCTTAGACTGTACTGAGTGATTGATGTATCACTGCTAACAAGGAAACTGGCACCCCAACACATGACATGAGCTGTGAACTTGGCCTCCGATCCATATTTCTTCAAGTTTAAAAATGTATGACATGACTGTATACATGGATTATATGTCATATAAACTTATTATTACAGTTGGTGATGGAGATATTTTATACTATATAACCTAGATTTTAACTCGACTGGTAACGTAGGTATGTACCCAGGTCAGAGTGAAATGTTTTACGTTACTTTTCGCGAGACGAGGCGTTAGGTTGTTTTATTCTTATGTCTTGGGGTGGGAAGCTGGCAGGTCGGGTCCTCGTCGCAAGTTCTTGAGATCACGTGGTTCAGAAGAGCCTGTAAGCTGAAGAATGTTAAGTACTTGAGCTTTATTTTAGGTACCTACTTACCTTTGATAGTAGCTTATGTGTGGACTTACATTTTGGCAGATGTTCCTCTCATGTGCTTCACAGATTAGCACAAAAATTTCTTCTAAGGTTCATTACCTGGAGAAGTTCTTGCATGTGTCAGTGGGTCTGTTCAGGACTCCTGTGTTGCATCTCCTGAGTAGCTGCTGGCTGATTTGGGAGTTGATTTGGACTTCTTGCCTTGTATAGCTGTTAGTTGTCATTCAGGATGTTGTGGGGGTATTTAGAGGGTACAGTACTTCCATTAGCACGTTTCACTAACGTGTCACTGGTATATTAATCGTGAAATATGTACTTTAGTGACGTATTTTCACAGCACTAAAACCTGGTACAGTACTTCTTTATGTAATTCTAGTTAGCTCTCTGTTGATGTTGGAGAAGCTCAAGAAAACTTTCCTTTCCTTAAAAGCATTTTCTTAGACAGTGGTGTGACATACCACTGTCTAAGATTATTGCGAGTCTTTGTATTCCTGCATTTTTCTAAGATGCAGCTGTTAGTTGGGTATACATACTGTACTATCAGAAGTGGAATATCAGTGCCATCGATCGCATTGGAGTCCGTGTTTCTTAGAACATAATTGTCTTGTGTCCCTATGATGGACCATGCTTAATGTTATGTGTGTGTGTGTACAGTATATAGTGTAGGTCTCTCCCTCCCTGGTGTACGTCTTTCAGGTCCTCCTTCTATGTACGTCTTTAAGGTCTTTCCCTTCTGTGTGTGTCTTTCAGGTCCGTCCTCTGTGTACGTCTTTCAGGTCTTCCCTTTGTGTACGTCTTTCAGGTCCTTCCCCTCATGTACGTCTTTCAGGTCCTCCCTTCTATGTACGTCTTTAAGGTCTTTCCCTCTATGTACGTCTTTCAGGTCTTTCCTCCATGTACGTCTTTAGGTCCTTCCCTCTATGTACGTCTTCCAGTTCTTTTCCCCTCGTCTTTCAGGTCCGTCCCTCTATGTACGTCTTTCAGGTCTTTCCCTCTGTGTACGTCTTTAAGGTCTTTCCCTCTATGTACGTCTTTCAGGTCTTTCCTCTTATGTGCGTCTTTCAGGTCCTTCCCTCTATGTACGTCTTTCAGGTCCTTCCCTCTGTGTACGTCTTTCAGGTCTTTCCCCTCTGTACGTCTTTCAGGTCCGTCCCCTCTATGTACGTCTTTCAGGTCCTTCCCTCTATGTACGTCTTTCAGGTCTTTCCCTCTGTGCGTCTTTCAGGTCCGTCCCTCTGTGTACGTCTTTCAGGTCCTTCCCTCGTGTACGTCTTTCAGGTCCTTCCTCTATATGTACGTCTTCACCCAGTCCCTGTTTTGTTTACATTCTAGCAAGTAATCGACGCCAAGCCCAGCGCCATAATTTTCACCAGTTTGTCATCGTGTCGTGGTGTTGACTTTTTCCAAGTAAAGGTGAGGGAGAAGTGAAGTTGTTTATGTTTGGTGTGTATGTTGTTGGTGTTGGATGATGAACTTGGGGCCGTACCTGGTGAAAAATACCCCAAGGTATTTTAGTTGGTGCACTATTATTCAAGCCGTTACTGTACCAGCATTCCTGTTCGTTGGCCTATACATGTGGATAGGCTTTTTGCGTTCCTTGAGTGTTGTTTGTTTTTTTAATGGTAAGAATTATTACTGGGTAGGCCTGCATACACCATTGAATCAAGATTACAGTGATTTAGTGAACATGGGAGTAAATATAGAGTTGAAATTACAGAACCAGCGGCTGTATCGCACAAAACTAACTTAATCCGTTATAGGTTGTGTACTGAAACTGCGATTACTTTAGCCAAAAATTATAGATGGTAAGTTTTTGGCTTCTCTACCTCTTAATGTTGACTTGACTGGGCCTGTTGGTGACTGTATATAATTCGTGAAAGGAGAGAGAAACACCTGACATATTGACTTGGATATCAGTGTCAGGTTCATTGGTGTTGGAAGTGTCTATGGTAGTAATTTTGTGGGTTTACGTTGAGTACCTATCGTTGTGGGGTGAGGGTGGGAGTGCCAAGGGTTGAGGTGGAGTAGAAAGTACCACAGTGGGCTGAGGGTGGAAGTGCCAGGGGTTGATGTGGAGTAGGAAGTACCACAGTGAGTTGAAGGAGGAAGTGCCAGGGGTTGAGATGGAGTAGGAAGTACCTCAGTGACTTGAAGGAGGGAGTGCCAGAGGTTGATGTGGAGTAGAAAGTATCAATGTAGACTGGAGTGAGGGAGGAAATATTAGAGGATAGGGCGGCTTGAGACGTGCCAGAGAATAGGATAAGACGGGAAGTACCAGGTTGAGGGTGAGGCGGTAAGTGCCAGTCTGAGGGGCAAGGAGGTGAGTGCCAGGTGGCAGTATAGGGACGTGGCGCCCCGTCGTCACGAGTCGAAGGGGTCGTCGCTCTCCACCGTAGAAAAAAATTAACTAATCACACTTTTTCTGTCTCTCTCTTCCGCATACCTCGCGCTTCTGTGGCCCCGCCCTCACCCCGCCCCTCTCCTCACCCGCCCTTCTCCCTCTCGCCCCCCTTCTGCTGCCCTCACACCTCACCCACCGCCATTACCTCCCCCCCACACCCTCCACCCTCTTTTCTTCTCTCTCGATATCTACCACACTTCTCCTATCACCATTGCCCCCCCCT